ATTGTAACTCCTAATATCTACATTCATTTCTCACAAGGCGTCCAAAGATGGTTGTTTTTAAATACTTCAGCTCACGGTGTGTATTTTGCTCTGGTTTAGTTATCTGTTCCAAAACGTACATCTGTCTGTTCAATGAAACAAGATTGAGTCAGCCATCACACAGATTATGTTGAATAAATAAACTAACACGTGGTTAACTTTCCTATACAAGTTATTATAAACAAGCGTACTTATTTTATAGTGTCATCAACATCATCAACAGCCTATACTAGTCCACTGCTGGACATAGGCCTCTCCTTAGAAAGGAGGTTTTGGCCTACTATACCACGCTGGCCAGACGGGTTGGTATAGGGTTTGTTTCAAGTTTTCCTTCTCTTTGCAGTGCTGTTGTCCTGCTTAGTTTGCTCCCTTAGTCGGCTCTTACGACACCCACGGGATGAATTGGGGTGGTGACAATTTGTATTCTTAATCCGTGATAGGGTCATCATAGGGTAACGCAACTCAAGAGTCCCAACTTGCTTTACTGACTTTTAACCCCTCCCCTGTCTTTTGATTTTTCACTCAGTGAAAAGACCGGAAAAAATCACTTAGCAGCGGTTTTCTATAAGGTCATGTTTTGCAGAAGCGTGGCTCTACCCTGGTCTGATATTAAATTAAGTACGTCCAAGGTAGAGCTTCTTTTTCTTGCTGGACCTTTTCCAATTTGCGCCATAGTACACAATCCACCACAATTTTGTATAATAATCTGACAGGTTTCTGTTATCGTTACCTATTAAAAACTGTGGGATATTGTTAATGATGTCAATTGTTTGTGTGGTGACGGTCCCATATTCATTCCGTGGGTGTCGTAAGAGCCGACTAAAGAAACTACGCAGAACAACAGCACTGCAAAGAGAAGTAGAATTTGACAGAAACCCTACACCAACCCGTGCGGCCAGCGTGGTTTCGATCAAAACCTCCTTTTTAAGGAGATGTCTATGTCCAGCAGTGGACTATTAAAAACTGTTGCAGTACAGGGTCATATATATGTAACATCAACTATCAGTCGATGGAAAATCCAAACTCTGTAAACAAGTCTCGCTTAAAATGACAGTATACGTCTAAGTGATGTTATTGCCTTGAATTTAAAACACATGTAGAAAAGTTTTGTTTAGAACATTTCGTTACGAGTTTTGCGTAACAAAATCTACATGTTTTTTTGTCTAATAGGTAATTTAAATTCGTTTGTGTGTGTCCGTGAAATTGTAAGTGATTTTTTAAAGATTACCACTTATTTGGTAATTCTAGGTGGTATCTGGCAACTCGGTCTGTGTAGAAAAAAATACACGTAAATGTTACGTATGACGAATTAATAAAGCCTATAATTAAAAAAAAATCTTTTACACATACTTCCTTATTCGAAATTAATTGAACAATGTGTAAAGATTTTAGACATCCAAAAAATATATTACAAATTGCAATTTATTAATATAATTTTGCCATAGACAAAAGAGTAGATGACTGTCAAGTCAAATCAGTACCTTTTTATTAAACGTCGAAACAATAGACGTTTTTGTTTGAAATACTATGGCGTGACGTCATACCTAGCTATTGTCAAAAATCATTTAAATTTGAAGATATCTAAACATAAAATTGAAAATGGAGGACAATTCAGTCTATACCTTAAGTGCCACATTTAATGATGCAGGCGACATAATATAAAATAATTATTTTAAATAATATAATTAATATTTACCTAGTAATCCATCGCACTAATAAATGTTAGGTAGGTTAGGTAGAGTGACAAAAAAGATCTGTCAACTTTTTTAAACATGGCGGAGTTTAACTGTCACACCTGACGCATACAATGTCGTGTTATTTGTTAGAGTATGTTATGACATACTTCGGTGGGCGCCAGTTTTGGACATGGCCGTAATATCCGTCAAGGTTGAGTGAAAGTATCGGTCATCGTCTTGCTTGACACGTCTGTCGAATTCCAGTCTATATCGGCTGAACTTTGAATAGTACTATCACACATCACATCAACAGACTTTAATAGTCCACTGATAGACATAGGCCTCTCCTTAAAAAGGTGGTTTTATCCTACTATAACACGTTGGCCAGATGGGTTGGTATCGTTTCTGTGTCAAGTTTTTTTCCTCTTTGCAGTGCTGTTGTCCTGCATAGTTTGCTCCCATAGTCGGGTCTTACTACAGCCACGAGATGATGATGTAAGGACCCACTACAATAATTTTTAGAAATTTGTGGTGGTTGGTGTATTGAATCGTCATTTTTTAAGTTAGAAATAAGAAATATCATCCAAGCGCAAGGCAATAGCTAATTAAATATATTATTAAACAGGAAGCACGGCTTTTAAACGGTTAACCGCGTGACGTAATTTATAGATAGACAATAATAAATTAAATAATATAATTATTAACAAAGTACAACATCTTAAAAAAAAATTACGAACTATTGTTTAGTCGTTACATAGTACATATATTACATACTATATAACGACTAAATAGTAGTTATATTAGTGTTATTAGTAACTGTTTCTTGTCTATCTCTCCCTTTTTATAAGTAATACTCTAAAATGTTCCCATCTTAAATTCCCTAAGTCCCTCGTACTTACGGCAGTAGTGGCGCCCTATACGCGTGTCTGGGACAAAAATTATGAAATATCAGTGTTTATAACGAGTTTATAAATGTTAAAACAAGGCAGGGTAATTCCAAAAACAACCCTTCAGAAAGCTCTTGTTGATATAAATGCTATTGTTTTGTTGTTTGTCAAAACCTTTAAGAGATTAGTTAAGTAGTGTTGATCAAAAATATTCCATATAGATCAATTCTCGTAATCTTACAACATAACAGAATGAAAAGTGATTGATTTGACATTGAATTGACATATGAATTGACTGAAAATAGGTAATCGGTTCACAATACTTGCCGGCAGTCTACTGTTGATCAATATTCAATGTCATAGAAATATCAAACTTGACGCATAAACAGAGATGGGAATACGAATTAAGTTTCATTCGCAGTAAAGTATCAATCACTAGTAGAATACTGATTTTCCCTTTTTTCTTCTTTCGGTCACAATATTAAATAAAAAAATATAATAAAATATATTCTACCACATACACACAACCCCATCTAGTCCCAAACTAAGCAGAGCTTGTACTATGGATACTAGACAACTGATATAAATACATATATACTTTTTTTTGTAAATACATACATATTATACATAGAAACACCCAGACCAAATCTAACATTAAATGTTCATGCACACAAATGTTTGACCTGAGCGGGAATCGAACCCGCGACTTTTGGAATAGCAGTCCGTTACACAAACCACTACACCATCCAACGAGAATACCTTTTATGACTATTGTGAGATTGAGATTAAATGGGAAATGAATTTTGATCATGTTTTGTTATAAAATTGACCTTCTGTTGTTTACTTCATATCACGAAAAGAATATATTATACGAGACAAATTTAAAGAAACCAGTTGTTTTTTAAATATTTAAATTTGTTCCATTTTATTTTAGTATTTAGTCGTCATACTGGTTAGACATTTATATTCACTATTAACATTCTAATATTATGCCTTAATAAAATAAAAAACCACTTTTCTAAAATGTCATTCAAACTTAAAAGCGTTCACAAAAATAGTTTATAACCAGTTTTCTAGACGGATCAAACAAAATCCTATCAGATAAACAAACTTAAACCTAACTGTATCCTTATTTTGTATAAATTATTGTCCTACACTCTCATAGGATTTTAGTTTTAGTGTCACAATGGGGTAGATGACTGTCAAGTCAAATCAGTATCTTTTTTTAAATGTCAAATGTCATTTTTGTATGAAATACTGTGGTGGTACGTCATACTTAACCTAACAAATCATTTAGATTTAATGTTGATTTGGAGATATGGAATCAATGAAAACAGAAAAAATTAATGAAGGACGATTCAGGTTGTACTTTAAGATGTTACAGTGAAATTAGTCTCGAGAAATTTTTGCATATGTAGTGGTGTGTATATTACTCAGATCTTAGAGCGCGTTTCCACTATATCGTTCTGGCCTATACAAAAATGTTTCGATATCCTAACGTTACTATTTAATTTTATACTTATCCCTAGCAACACTCTGATTTTTGTTTTCAATAAAAACAAGTTTTTATTTCAAAGAAAAAGGTTTTGACTTTATAAAAAAAAAAGGTGTGTGTGCGATTCACACACGATAGAAGTGAAACTTCAAAGAGGGGAGACCTTTTTTTTCCTTTCATCTAGGTTTTTAAACTCCGGGGGGTCTGCGGGGGGGTCAAAATTTTTGGTATTTTTGGCCTAGGACGCACCGTTTCCGGGATATTTCAATCTAAAGCAAAAAATCGTCACTTGATAGTGGAAAGTGGAAACACGCACAACCATACACTACTACAAACGCAAAAAATTCTCCAAGCTAATTTACCTGTACATTTAATGATTTATGCGATGATTTATTGTAAACTTAGGAATCTATCTTATTAATTTCGACAATAAACCGAAAATAAACTATATTAAAAGCCTTAAACAAAAAGTTCTATTTAATATAATGCTTAATATTATAAATCTATAACTAAAAAAATAAATTTTGCACACATATTGCCAAAAGTGCAGAGAATAGAACGTGAATTGAGATACCTACTGTTTCCAATGGTTAGAAAAAAATACTTAAACTTGAACGAATCAGTGGGCAAAAGTTACTTAAGTAAAAACCTTTAGTCTAATTTTTTATCACTAAAAGTTATGTAACATATGTTGTATGTATACATGTTCTTTATTGTATTTTATTTGATCAACAACAAATAAATTTTGTAGGGTAATTGACTGTTAAGTCAAATTAGTACCTCTATGACACGTCAAACGATAGATCCATCATAGCTATGTATTAAAAAAGAGGCTTAATTTAGAACCTAAATATGGTGTAAAATGATTTACTTTTAAATTTTGACTTTATTATCCCATATAAAATGTTGGTTCGTGTACGCTTCAAAAATTCAAAAGCACCGATTGACCTTAAATTTTGAAATATATACGAACCTCTTCGAAGATGGTTTTTATCTATTTTTCGCGTTAGTTTTATTCCGCATGTCTCATAAATACAACCAAAATATGCCAGGGTACAGCTAGTTAATAAATAAAAGCACATTTTTTAAAGTATTTGAATATATCCTCTAAATTAACTTTCAAAAAATTTACTGTAGAAATTCCTAAATCAATCGTGTATTTTTTTAAAGCAATGTTCTAATGATAAATTTTCGTTTGTTACAGGACCTAATACCGACTCAAGACACAGAATCATATCTCTTAAAAACTCAAAATGCCATCACAAACCTTCAAGCGCAGCTACAGTCTTCTAGAACAAACAACTTCAGCACCATCCCTTCTCAGCTCACCTCTAGTCTTCTCAGCGAGAAAACAACCATATCTCGCCTCCCGATCTCACAGCTCAGCCGCTCCAACTCACTTAACTATCGACTCAGAAAGAAAGACCACTCCAATGACAGCAGTCCGTTAAGAAGTCCTGGCCATTACGTCATAACTGGATCAACTAAAGTTCCAGAAAGTACTAAAACACTCCTCAATTCAGCCACTAGGTCTTTAGACACAGATCGGCGTCATGATTCTAACATGAATAGTCCATCATCAGAAAGAGGATTACAGTCAAATAGTTCTGATGATAAAACGTTGTCAAATAGACCCCACTATGTTGTGGAAGCTATTCTATCACCACACAGAAACTCCCATTCCAGGAACAGAATAATTGAAGGCAGAGTGCATGATAATATAACTAACGCGAACTCGACAGTTTGCCTCAAGACTGTGTTGAAAAACAACGTCTTAGATTCGAAGTATCCAAGGATTGATCAAACCCGTAGTCAAGGCAACAAGAAAAGCCACCAGCGGGTTCTCAGCGATAGTCTAAAGTTCAAATCGAATAACATCGGTTTTGGTTCATCGATTAAGAGGTCCAGTTCTTTCAATACTGTAAATAAGAACAACAATTATCTGGATCAGAGAATAACATCCAGACGTTCCAGTGGACACTCTGAGGAATACAAGGATTATTCAGATGAATCTGACACCGGATTTTACGATAAATCTCAAGATTTAAGATACAAGAGACAGATTATTAGTAGAGGCAGAATTGAATCACCTAAATTAAAGTCTGTCGCACCAGCTAATTCGCCACGGTGTCCCAACACACCAGAAATGCACAGGAAATTTGGCCCAGGAATGGTCAGGAATTCTGTGAGGGTGACAACTAAAGAGAGATTGAGTCCGAGAGTTTCTGAGCAACCAATTGTGAGGGAGGAGAGGACGAAACCGGGTAATCATCAGAGTAGGAGATCCACAGAACCTAGGCCAACGACTTTAAGCCGATTAATAAAGTCAAGGTCATCTACTAGAGAAGTGTGCCAGCCCAAGAATTTAGATAAAGGTTAGTTGTACAATATTTCATTTCACTAACTTTTAAAGTTTTACGTTCCATGATATATACTTATGTAAATCTACAGAAATTAACATATCAGTTGTATACTCGTGGGGTGGAGTGTCACAATATTTTGTTTTATTTACATAAGTAAACGCTTCCACGGATACAATCTATTTAAAAGAGTAAAGTTTAATTAAATTATGAATCAATATTGATCAGTTCATCACACAATATGGCTGTATTCCTATCAAATCGAATATCGCTGTATTGCGTGTTTGCTTAATAAGCCTTGAAATTAATTACAGTATCGAGTTAGTTACACTTATCTAGTAGTAGGCCAAATCCTCCTTTCTAATGAGAGGCCTATGTCCAGCAGTGGACTGTTAAAGGTTGATGACGTAAAATCTTTTTAAACGCCTGTGCTTCCTTAGTTTACGTCACGGGTTAGAGAAAAAAAAATCTGCTGTGATCATATTCATTTTTTATTTTAATTCTTTATGCCAAGTATGAGTTGTACAATGGCGGACTTAATGAAACAGGCATTTTCTCATACTCGTAGTCTGCCTTAGGGCGGTGGTCCGGATGTCTTAATAACAGCAGTTCCCGGATCTCTCCTATTACAGGCGCAGAGTGGCACACCGTGTGGTTTTAGTCGGTCCGATTCCGACACACCACCCTGCCGCAAACCCTGGTGGGGTGACGGCCCGAGGAGGTTTCCACACGTAAAAAAAAAATGTGTTGAAATGTGTGACTAGGTGCACTGGACATTGATATGTAAAGTAAAAGAGAATTATTGATAAGTTAGACAGAAACAATGCGAAAAAAATAAACATACATACATGAGTACCAAATACATACACATACATAGAAATTTACCTAGTTACATACATACATAAACCTACATATTAATAATATATAAAGCTTTAAGGTTGTAATGAATCTGCTAGGATGTCCAGAATGCGAGCTTGAATTGTCATCTTGAATATGGTGGCTTTTATATCTTCTTTCTTTTACGTACTAAGTGTCTATTAGCGAAAACCTGATAAAGTTATGTCCGTTATGGATTGAGGAGCCACTTCATTTTAAACGAAAACACCCCTTATTTAGTAGGTAAGAAAATAATTTTATAGGACAACTTATGACTTTAAAGTTGCAAGACTTGACACAAAAAGAAGTATTATATACACCATATTTTTGAAAGGCTACTTGTCTTAAAATATTATCTAGTAACAGAACTTAGTTAACAATGAGTCTTGTTTCTGAAACATTAGACATAAATTTGCTGTAAATTTTGACAGTTCTGCCAACTGAATTGATAATCAATTAATCATGCCTACGGCAAGTCAATATGCACTTGTCAAGTGATTTCTGTCATATCTGTGATATACAATACATTCATATTAAATAACTACGAATGCCGTTTATTGCAGAAAAGCATTAAACATAATCTTCAATACATCTGTCAAATTACAATTTGGCGGGCAATAGAATGGCATTCGGCCACGACCGCCGGTGTTGCAAGCGTGACGAATTGTAAACCATTGCCGAGAATTACTCAAGGATTTTGATTGATTATTAGTAACGGCGTGTGTTCAATAGAAATTATCAATTGTATTCTCTCTTGTGAAATTGTTTAATGAATGAAGGTTTTAAGGTAATCTCCTTTAAAGACTTCTGTTTATTATTTAGCAATCAAACAGTTAAGTCGTGGAACGAGAAGCGGGTAAATTTCGTGATAGATTGGTTTCGTAAAACTAAAACAAATATTGACTCAAAACATTAAAAAAAAGGTTTTAGTTAAACTGTCTGAGTTTAAACAAAATCTTTGAAATATAGCATCGGTTTAATTTAAACTTAGTAGGGAACTTATACTTATGTTTTTTTTTGTACATCTACTACTGGAGTTGTATGGATTGTCTTATGGGAAGTGTCTCGTAGTCTATGAAAGTTTGCAATAATATTTTTTAAATAAATTAATAAATCTAATTTTCAAAAAATGTTATTGTACTTGATATCACAAAGTGGTCATATTAGTGTGATTTATACCAACATTATTATAGCGGAAATGTTACTAAAAGTTATCAGTTAATTTCTCCTTAATTAATTAAATGTACTGACATGTTTTTTCTCTACGGAGATATTTCGAGGGCAAAGTTTCTTTATAAATATATATATTCTTAGTACCTATTTCGGTGACAGAGTTAATTCTTAAAATATTAATACAAATAATAATTATATACGAACTGCTTTTTATTGCGACCGTTTGTAGGCACGAGTTTTTGGAGTTTACTCCTTAAGAATCGATTGTCATATAAGGCGCCCGATATGAAAAATATGAAGAGTAAAATTTAGTGATCGAATGACCTCATTACTTTTTTGTGCGCACCTTTCACATGTGTGTGTATAGCTTGTATACTTGTGTGCAGCTGAAACGTTCTTAACGAGTAAACTCGTCGTGCACCGAAGCAGGCACACACACTTTTCTTAATGATGCCAATGTACAGCGTCAGAGTGGATTACAAACATTAAACTCCACCACGAAGGGGTCTGGGATCTACCAGGGTACAGTGTTCCGTTATTTTACGTGTTACAGTTATTTTTCATCATTTTATACATTGTGGGCTTTACTAATGTTTGAAAAATAGTATTTTTCAAATGACATTTAAAACTGTAATGTTCTTTTATGTACAATACCTGTAGCTTATCGGGCAGTTCACTTAAGTGGAAACTGCAACTACCATCTAATATTTTCTTAATTGTTAACCCAAATATTAAGTAACGAGTAATTTGAAAATATCTAGGTATGACGCCATAACTCATTATTTGAAACAAACTTTTACAGAACATTTATACGTTTTAAGAAAGAGGTGGTAATCTGACTAGATAGTCAAATAGCGTATTGTTATAAAAAAATTACTAGATAATTAGACAGCATTATTTTAAATTCTTCAGTTTGTGTTTTTGAAAGCATTTTCATTTAAACTAATTTACTATTTCCTTTTTAATTGTTGTCAATTAGAAAGTGTGTCATATTCACTGTCCATGATTTAAACTTATAAAACAAAAAATCTCTCTCCTTACCCGAATTAAAAAAAAGTTTCTCTATAAAGCTGAAGAGTTTGTTTGTTTGTTTGAACACGTTAATCTCAGGAACTACTGGTCCGATTTGAAAAATTCTTTCAGTGTTAGATAGCCCATTTATCGAGGAAGGCTATGGGCTATATATCATCACGCTAAGACCAATAGGAGCGGAGCACCAATGAAGAATGTTTCAAAAACGGAGAAAATTTATTACTATTGAGAGACGCAGACGCGCGGGTCAGCTAGTTTCTAAATATGTATTATTATTATTACTATTATTATAGATAAATCACATAATTCTAGGTCTAGGGTGGAAATACAATCTACGATCTACGGCCTAGTGATCGGGGTCACTAACTAATATAACAAAAGGCCTGTACAGATCAAATTCCAAGATGTCAAATTATAGTTTTTTCTTCATAAATGCAAAGTTTTATTGTCTGTTGATTAAAATTCACTTCAATGATTTGTTTACATACTAAATTACAAGTGAAGCTAATGAAATCGTAAAAGCGTGTTAAAAATCACGTTGTATATAAAATAATAATAAAAATACTTTCCCTTATAACTATTTGACGTAAATCAACGCAGTGTTGCCATATTAGATAAAAAATATTGAGGTTTGCTCGGAGATTCTGAATGAGTATTTAAACTTTAGTTACGGATGTTATAGTTTACTACACCATAGACAATAACTTTTACTTCTAATATTTACATAACATCATAGTTAACACGCGAACGTCTGTCCATTCTTTTGTGTTATAACAGTATTTGTTAATATAGAATAATATTTGCTACTAGAAGATTCTATTAACCGTGTAGAAAAGTAGTAAAATATATTATAATAGCTCGTATAACTTGTATGTGTACGTACAGAGAGAAAAAAAAACAATACTCAAATATTTTATGGTCAATCAGTCAGATAGTCCTCATGACAATAAATATGTCATACATTGTGACAGTTATGTGAATGCGTTTGTGTGCGCGTCTGCGCGAGCATGTGTGTTTGTGTCTTATTATCTTCATCATCAATAGCCCAACGCAGTCCACTGCTGGACATAGGCCTCTCCTTAGAAAGGAGGTTTTGGCCTACAATATCACGTTGGCCAGACGGGTTGGCACAGGGTTTCTCTTTGCGGGGCGGCATCCGCGTGTGCCGGACGTCGCCTAAAGAGAGGAAAACTTTGAGATGGAGCCGCACCAGGAGCGGGCCGGCGCTGGGAGGGGTCCAGAAGGCGATAACTACCTGGACCCCTCCTAAACTGGAAGCGCAAAGAGGGCACACCGTGTGGTTTTAGTCGGTTCGAGTCCGACACACCGCCCCGCCGAACGAGAGCCCCGGCGGGGTCACGGTCCGAGGGGATTTCCACAAGTTAAAAAAAAAAAACAGTTTTTCTTTTTGCAGTGCTGTTGTCCTTCGTAGTTTGCTCCCTTGGTCGACTCTCACGACACCCACGGGGTTTGTAGGAGTGGTGACACTCCGTATTCTTAATCCGTGTCCACACGGATTATATTTGAGATTAATAAATAATATGAGATATTTGTGTCTTATATCCTTCTATTATGAATATATTTTATTAATATTACATACTAATATACATAGATACATTTCCTTTCTTACTTTCTAACTTCAAATAGACAAGACAGCCCTGTTGGTTTAGTGGTTAGTGACCCTGACTGCTACGCCAGAGGTCGTGGGTTCGATTCCCACCATAGACAAATACTTGTGTGATGAGTACGGTGATTTGTTCTGTGTCTGGGTGTACTTTATCTATAATATGTATGTATTTAAAAATATATCTATATATGTATGTTTATCAGCAGTCTGGTTACCATAGTACAGGCTCTGCCTAGTTTGGGATCGGTTTGTAAAATGTGTAAAAATATTATTATTATATGTATTTATCCCACTTTTCAAGAGTTGTATTTTTGCTTAGGTGTAAAAGAAAGTATTGGGCCCATCATATACATTTACTGTATTAAATATGATCTTGTTGTAACCGCCATGAATATACAAAATAATAGAAATCTTAATAATTTTGCCCTTCCCCAGGACCAAAGAAACTTAGCCAGCACCGCTCATCATCAGCTCTTGCTACTAAAGAGATAGAGTTCTCTAACTGGAAGAAACGTTCATCCTACGACCCAATGAAGGCTGCCCAGGAAGGCAAGAGGAAACAGCAGTTGGCTAAACGGCAAGATTGTAACAAGGATGATCTAAGTTCACCGAGGTGAGATACTAAGATAAAACAAGACTAAAGAGGGTAGTTCTCTCACCCAGAAAAAACAATACTTTAATTAAGGTCATGCCTCCTTACACCCACCCCACACCTAACCAGCACCACCTCCACTCGGTGTCCAATCATTGTCCACCTGTTGACGCTTGTTAACCAAAAACAGGTTACGACAGACACTTGTGAGGGGGAGCGGTGTCCCCACGATGCAACGTCCTCAGGCGTGAACCATTCGGGCGGACAGCGCGCGGTCACCGAGTGGACCACTCGTCGGGCAACCCTGGGCAGTTGATGTAGTGAGCGTATACTCATAGTACTCTATACAAAGAATACTAACCGCTCGAAGCGAGGCTGAGCTTTCCGATGAGCTATGGCCTTTATTTGCCAAAATCTGATAACCCTGTACATGCTAGTACCAGTTTATCTGAACAAACTATATAATCATTTTATTTCAGCCATTCATCACCGGTTCACCGCTCTCAATCCTTCCACACAACCAACATCGCCGACCTAGAAACCTTGGACTACTCCTCAGAGGAGACAGAAGACGACCTAGTGATCACACTGCCAGTCGACCCAATGATCACCTCAACCCATTCGGATATATTGGACTTGAGGCCTAAGGACTACAGGGAGAATTTAAGAAGACAGGCTATGACGAATGATGTGGTTCTAGCCAGGGATTATGTCGCAAACTTCCAGGTAAGATAAACCTGACAGTAATACATATATCGTGATTATCAACAGACATAGGCCTCAACTTAGAAAGGCGGTTTTGGCCTACTATAGCACGTTAGCCAGATAAGTTGGTATAGGATTTGTTTCAAGCACCCCCTCTTTCCCACTGGGCACTCTGGGCACGTGCCCAGGGCCCCTTGATAGATAGAGGCCCCCTAATTCCTACCTACCTAATTCGATAATCAATATTAATTACCGAAAACCATATTTATTTAGAAAAATCCAGCGAAAATGGCTGATTATAAAACCTTGTTTGGCTATTCTATCATAGACACTAATCAGTCAAGTTCGTAGGGGCCCCATTATACCAATGTGCCCAGGCCCCCCCGATAGGCTAAAGATGGCCCTGGTTTCAAGTTTTCCTTTTTTGCAGTGTTGTTGTCCTGTATAGTTTACTCCCTTAGTCGGATCTTACGACACCCACGAGATGAATAGAGGTGGTGACAATCCGTATTCTTAATCCGTCACCAACATCGACAACAATACAGATAATCAGGCCTTTTCCTGAGTATAATTTAGTATTAATGTCATGCCGTGGCATGATCTCAAAGATGTAGTTCGTACTTGTCTTTAGATAGGCACTTCTGTCTTTATTTTGTCTTATTTCCATACATACATCTGTAACCTCGAAGGGGTAGGCAAAGGTTATAATAAGCGCCTAAGGGATTTTGCACCTCTCACGTAGTATGGGACAAGCCTACTGCCTCGAACCGGGCACGTTTGCAGATGGATAAATCTATACAAATTAACTATTGTAATTAATCATCATCATCATCAACATCCTTTACTAGTCCACTGCTGGCCATAGGCCTCTCCTTAGAAAGGAGGTTTTGGCCTACTACACCACGCTGGCCAGACGGGTTGGTATAGGGTTTGTGTCAAGTTTTCCTTCTCTCTGCAGTGCTGTTGTCTTGCGTAGTTTGCTCCCTTAGTCGCCTTTTACGACACCCACGGGATAAACAGGGGTGGTGACACTGCATTCTTAATCCGTCACCACACCGATCCACACGTAATCAATAGATAATAATATTTAAAAAAAATACTTATTTTACACAGATGATTAGGTATCTCAAATTTTGAGATAAACAAGGTTAACCTATTTGAATATTTTTCTAAACCACAATAAATATGCTAATCATTTGATTCAATTTACTTACGTTGATGTTTTTTACACAGTGAAAGAAAAAACACAAATTTGAAACAGAAGGTTCAAAAGTCGTTTTTTTTTAAACTACTTTGCTACTACAACGCTGTAATATAGTACGCAGTAAAGTATATAGTTTGTCTATAATGTCTGTCAAAATGACAGTACGGTATTGTCACAAAGACCAAACAAACTGTCAAAACATCAGTCTTCGTCGAATCCTTGTAATCAACAATAATGTAATTATTTTTCTCCTTTTGTTACAACAGATAAACCAACACGCGCACTCGGATAAAAATCGTCGCAATATCTATGGCATCAACTCGGAGAAGCGCAAAACTTACATCATAGACGACATAACACCAACCAAAGAGAATATAGACTTTTTGACAAAGACAAGACAAGAAGAGTTGACCATAGACAAAAGGAAAACTTTCATTCTTGACAGTGACACTAATTCGACAACGAATGGTAGTAGTCCAAGGAATTCATCGATATTCAGTCACGAGAAGAACTCGTTGACGACGGGAACTAGTGATACGGAGGGTGAGAGCGGGACAGAGAGTGCGCCGGTCGTGATGAGGCATCCGGGAGGGAAAAGGAGTGCTCCGGTGCAGGCTAAACAGAGGTAACTTTTTTAATTTTATATTTAAAGGCTGCTATGACTGGTTCTTTATCATGTGAGAAAAATAAAAAGAAGAAATCTATAAATATTGAATAATCTTAATCTGACTTTGACAAGTGTTTTACTTTGTCTATGATCGTTTGTAGAATGCATTCTACAAACTAAAGTTATATTCTGCGTAATTTGGGTAAAACTGGGTAAACTTGGGTAATTCTGTGAGCTACTGTGAACTTATTCTTCGGAGCTTTCAGACTCTGTTATCCGCACGTTACACTCCTAGAACTCTTTCATTCACTCATTCAATCTTCACATGTACCAGTCATTCAATTGTAGAAACAGTCTGTGAGAGTGTATCTTCATAACTACGTTCCAGGTACAGCGGTGACTATTCCATGTCATCGTCAACGACCTCAATAAGCCGCAAGCAACCGATCCAGCCGCGATACTTGGACATATCTAAGTATAAGAACGAGCAGTCTCCAAAGAACTTCCTTCGAAGGGACCCCAGCAAGACGTACGTTGGTGTCCTGGGAGAAACTAAGACTGTTAGTAAAGGAAGTGCTCAGCATTATGAAATGGGTAAGTCTTTATTCTTCATTTATGTTCGGATGGCGTAGATGTTTATGTAACGGACTGCTAATCCAAAGGTCGCGGGTTCGATTCTCGCTCAAGTCAATCATTTGTGTGCATGAACATTTAATGTTTGATTTGGTCTGGGTGTTTCTATGTATAATAAGTAAGTGTTTACAAAAAAATATATATGTATTTATATCAGTTGTCTAGCACCCATAGTACAAGCTCTGCTTAGTTTGGGACTAGATGGCGTTGTGTGTATGTGGTACAATGTTATTATATTTTTATTAATATATCCTGTCAAATATTTAAGCTAATAACTTTGACAGGCTTTTAGTACCTAATAATTATTGTTATAAGTGATCATTTCACATACGGCCTTCTGATCCCAAACTAGACAGAACCTGTAACCATACTGCTGATAAACATTTTTTAATTTTCACTCATTTTACACGGCCGTCTGATGCTAAACTAGGCAGAGCCTGTGCTATGGTAACCAATCTGCTGATAAACATACTTATATATTACAAAATACATACATATCTATACTAATATTATAAAGCTGAAGAGTTTGTTTGTTTGTTTGTTTGAACGCGCTAATCTCAGGAACTACTGGTCCGATTTGAAAAATTCTTTCAGTGTTAGATAGCCCACTTATCGAGGAAGGCTATAGGCTATATATCATCACGCTAAGACCAATAGGAGCGGAGCACCAATGAAGAATGTTTCAAAAACGGAGAAAATTTATTACTATTGAGAGACGCAGACGAAGTTGCGCGGGTCAGCTAGTTATAGATAAATTACACCCAGACACAGAACAAACGATCGTGCTCATCACACAAATATTTGTCCTGGGTGGGAATCCCACGACCTCCGCTTTAGCAGTCAGGGTCACTAACCACTACACCAACAGGCCTGTATATATAATTTTAGACAAATGACAACATAAATATGTCATTAATAAGTCTTTGTGTAAGTAATTCTCATGAAAATATTTCTGAATATATGAATACAAATTGAATTTATTTTAAACTGTTGAATAATTTATAATATTTTAGGTGAATATGTCTGTTATACATTCGATTTGTGTTTTATTAGTTATTTAAAATTGTTTGTACGTGTATAGCTTTTTATTTTACTAAATATTCATAGCTTCCGAAGTTTTTTTTGTTCTACTTCCTGCTTTCATAACATTTGGAAGCAGACTTACTATTATTATACAGACCTATTATGTAATATTCTTAATGTAATCATTATGAATATATAAGAAAGTATCTAGTGATAATCAATTAAAATAATTTGAATTTTGGACATACGATCTCAAACTGTTAAGTAACCACGGTCCAAAACCGTCCAAACCAAAATCACGGAATCAAATAGTTAATTAGTGTAATCGACTCGAAATATATTCTAAACTAATTCTATTACAGTGTCAGATTGGCGTTTTTTTTGGCAGCTAAAAATAACAGCTAAAGTATATTTTTTTTATCTATTTTCTTTCCATTTTCAGAACAAAAGAAGCAAGAGTTAGAGAAGTGGAAACGTAGGGCTTCATACGACCCGAGGAAAGCGGCGGCCCTCGGGAAGTCAAACAAGCCTCAGTCAAAGACCGCCAGGTGAGTCGCCCTTGCTATAAAAATAGCTGTTGTCTATGACAGACTCTGTGGGTTGACTCCTTTGTTCGGTCACTTAGTACAGGTTGATGTGACAAGACGTTTGACGTGCTTTTAATTCCTAACTCCTTACTGTGTGTATAATATGTTGAGATAGTTTTTTTTTTAAATCTGGTTCTTGTACTTTAGTAATACTATTATACGAAGTACTGTTTCTTCTGTTGTACGATAAGTACGCGAGAGCTTCATAAGTCATGTTTAGTGAAAACCCATTACCTTTAGGAATTTTGTCGAGCAATCGTTTGTTAATCCAACACAATTGTACATGAAGCGCTTTAGGTAGATACGGATTAGCAAAATGGAAGATGTAAAAAGTAAAAATTTACGTCGTATTGATAAGTCCACTTTAATGTACAGAAGTGGATTACCTTACGAACAAGTAAGGTAATTTATCTTGTCACATTAAAACCTGTACTAGGTTAGTTTGTCAATAATAAGTTCATACTAATATTATTTTGTATTAAACTATATAACAAAAAAATTGGCATCGTAATATTTTATGATAATCAAATTATCTACACTGTTAACAAAGACAGGTTGTCATATTTTTGGTTTGCTATATATATTAATATCACACTTGTTTCTTTTATAAATATCTATATTTTAGTTGTAAATAGCATTTTTTATTATTTTCTGTTTATTTACTTCCTTTAACTTAAGCTTAACTGTATTAATAAGATTGTAAAACAGTTTGTTGTAAATTTTAGAGCGTGACAAATCTCAAAATGCATGCAATACCGTGTAAGTGACATACGGGCCGCCATCTTGACGTGTAAGGTTAGTCAAATGTCAAAATGACAGGTGCGGGCCTCAGCCGTTTGTCAATCTGACAAGCGTCCAGTTACGTTGGGCACTTTTGGTGGATTTTTCCAGTTTGCTTTAAATGCTTTACACGAAGCGCTATACAGACTTGATTTTTCATTTTTTTAATTATAACTGTTAACTTCTCATTGGTGTGATACTTTTCTTTTTTTTTCCATCTATGTATTATTTTTATGAAAAATCAAAAGCGTGCTTTTCACTTTGCTTTTATTTAAAAGTTAGTATTAAAATAATCGTGTTTTTACATTAGCCTTATTTGGAAGATATTCAATGGTTTTTTGGTGCATATTTAATAAAGTAAATAAAAGCAAAATTTAGCTGGCTTGTCCGTTTATTGATGCTTCAACTTTTATATTGTATTTATTTAATTTTCTGTGGTCTATCATTTCCTTTGCACTTAAACTTACCAGATCTTTAGTAAATCTACATTGCCAGGAATAAAAATAACATGCTTACTTTAGAACTTACACTGTTTGCAATGTAACACATAATTTACTTGAACTTTCACTAACCCGAACCTATCTGTGTTTTAAGCACTCATACAATTCACAATTAAATAACTCCCCCTACCCTTAACTGCCTATCTTTTCATTGTGGTGGGTGAAATATCTACTCAATTATTATTATTCTTGTCTGACACTATAACAGTGTTGCCTTATTAGAAAATGTGACTGATTTACTATACCATTGAAAGCAAATAAATGATTGAAATTCTTTTTTTTTTAATTTGATTGATTTGAAGTTCATAAAAGAAAAAACTAATTTCTCTTGCTTTTCAAAATAAAAAAGAGTGTGCTTTAGACCACACGACTGAAGTAAAACTTCTTGGTTATGAGTCTCTCTTGCCCCTACAGTAATATACGAAACGTAACTCTCTTTCTATCTTCACTAACTTATATCACCCTCTCAACTTTCGTTCGCCTCACCCGATCACACTTCGTGATTCTCTCGTCACGTATTCACCAGCTTACTCCCCAAGTAAAGCGTGCCTCAAGAAGTTTTACTTCAAAAAATTATTTACTCAACGAAAAACAAAGATCAAATAATGATTTGTTTTGTAGAAAAAGAAGTCAGCTTCATTCTTTGGTATCTTTTTTTCATAATTTGGTTTAATTTCTTAATGAACAGATAAAGAAAAATTAACGTCGTATTTACTACTAACAAAATATGACTCTTTTTTGATACCGTTATTAAATTTGATGTATATGATATATTTGACCTTATATCATAAAAATAATTACCGAAGGCGAATTCACTAACAAGTTATTAAAATATTACAGTAGCGTACTCCGGTCTCAATCGTTCCACGGTCCGGTGCTGACTTCTCCCGGGCTCCGCCCCCCACCGGACCAGATCTGCGAGACGTACGACGCGTCCAGCGACAACGACTTCTAACGACTGTGTCGACATTTTATTAGCATTGTCGGCTACGACTTGTGATAACCTTCATACACGCATTTGAGGTAGAATCGTTTGTCACTTGCATTGTAACGTATATGTAGTGTTGTGTCGATGCAAAATTATATAGAGTTTGCATTGGGTAAAACGATCTCAGATTGTATTTAATTTACTAAATCGGACACTATAAAAGTTTGACAGATGTCAAATTGACAGCTGTCAAAATAGCGATGTCTGTTCTGCCATATTTTTAAATAACATTGCGTTTGCATCGATACTTGTAAGTACAACGCAGTGTGTTCATATTACTATAATGTATACACCGATACGAATTCTGCTTTGGTCTTGCGTACAAATTGTATTCGCATCGGTGTTATGTCAGACCAGTAATGAGAGAGGTGACTGTAATACATAATAATACAATTATCGTAAATATTATTTATGGTAAATGATAGTTCGGTAAATTAATGTACGAATACGTCTCTATTTATTATTGTAGTGTTTCGAACAATACTCCATTATAAATGTACTATGGAGAGTGTTTTCAGCCGTAATTTTAATTGTGCTAAAATACTTTTTGTTTATTATCAACAATATTGTAACATTTAAATATTGTTTCGTATTTGGGTGTATTACGATGAATTATAAACTCAATCCATGAAATGTTTACATTGCTTTGTGATTTGGTTAATTATTAAATAATAATATATAATTGTTTTATGAAGTATTCAGTTGCTTGAGAAAAAAAAATACCTTGACAGCTGTCACTTTCGCTTTACCCGAATCGATCAAAGTTTGCTTTAAAATGGCCAGATATGATTTTAAATTATTTGACGATTATATGAATTTAATAGATTTGGGGAGATGCAATTGTTTTCTATTATTTTTTAAGTTATTCCGCACAAATCGAAACTGAGTATACATGTTTTTAGTACTTTTTGTACTCAAGTACTCGATGTCTTACTTTGTAAAATATTTGTTTCTTGTAAACGTAAGTGATTAGGATAACATATTAAATAATAATTAAATGTGATTTAATTAATAATGGCAGAAGTATGTTTAGAATTGGCTATTATTATTTTCCACTAAAATCTATGAGATTAGTTTCTTTTGTAGTATGTCCATTTTAGATATATCATATAAAATATACCTTTTTATATTTGCTCATATCATTCGTACATCGATGTATTTTAGAGATATTTAACCTTTCTTGTTTATTTGTATAGTGCAACACTATTTCATTTGTCTACTGCTTAAATTAAGAACAAAGAATTCATTTAATAATATTTTTTGTAATTTTCGTGTATTGCAGATAAAATACTTAGTTTAAATGGAATACAAAGAGTTATTTATACGTGATTGTTACATTCACAGCTAAGCACAGTATTTTTGGCGATATTTGTAAAAGTTTGTTTCCAAAGTTTTTAATATATTTGTTTAGTATTGCCAGGCTCTGATACCGCACAGACTTAGCTTTAGTCCCTGTTTTACCTGTTAAATTTCTCTTTAATTACAAATAATAGCTGTGCATATTATTTAAAATATGATCAAGGATTAGTTTAACAACCATTTTTAATATGCGTTTTAGTTTTTTTATTGTTTGTGAGTGAAGAGAATAAATGAAGTGAACTGCACGGATGGCGTAGTAGTAAGCTGTGGCTACGCCGCTCACTACTACGCTGAGTGTTGTGGGTTCAAACCCCACATGGGACGACACTTTGTGTGATCCACAAATTGTTGTACTGAGTCTGGGTGTTCTTTGTGTCCGTTTCATGTATGTTTGTAAAGTCCCCCACGACACAGGATATATTCCTAATGCGGGAGTTGTCTTTTAAAAAAGACAAAAGTGTACTGAGATATTTATGAAAATCAGTTTAAAATATGTCCTATTTAATCAGTTTTTGTTAAAAATCTGAGTATATTCAATTTAATGTAGTGAAGTCGTATAAATTAGTAGAAGGCCTGGCTTTATTTAATGAACGCGTTAATATAACATAAGCGCTGTAAGCGTTTATATATTAAACGATTGATGTTTAGAGTTTTGTAAAAATATTATTTAAATAGGAAACAAATAAAAACAATGTTTAAAATTTAGATGTGGTTATTTTTTTTTGACATTACGACCATTATTCTCATCGATATCACACCTCGTGACAGGTCTTCGTTTCGAACCCCATACCCACGAACACCACATGTTAGGTGCAGTCCTAGCACACCCAAAACTGAGATCTAAGTGTACTTGTATTGTATGAGGTGGGATCCCATGACACGGGCCTCTGACATCTGAATGTCTCTGGACACCTTTAAATCTTATCCAAACATACTACGCTTGCATTTAATTTAAATCAAATATCTTAATTCCTTAGTATTACTTACAGTAGAAGGTTTAACATGGAAATAATTCCATGGAAGCTAAGTGGGCGTTTTATCTAGTAATTAACAGAAAATTAAACCGTTTTTTTTTCGTTGAAAACGAGCAGTCGGATACTCAAACAACTTAATACAATATATTAGATAGATAGATAACTCTTTATTTGCACACTAAATTACTAAACTAGAGTTACAAGAAAGGAACACAGCGATCAAATATCGAGTGTACAAAGGGCGGCCTTATTGCTAAATGCAATTTCTTCCAGGCAACCTTAGGATGGATCAAAAGTTGCAGAGAGACAGTCGTAGTTGAATATCTGCACTTGTGAACCTACTATTAGTTTATTATTATCTACTATACATATTACATATACTACACATATTATATTATCTACAAACATTTACAATTTTTATACTTACATCTACAATGCATATCACAATAAATAAACCTACATATATATAAGTACCTACATACTATACCAGCAAATATACATATACACATACATATATAAATACGCATTCTTAAATGAATAAACATATAGAAAAGAGAAACAGTTTCGTTACACCCTCAAGCGTGATGGACTCAATTAAGGTGAATAAAATTCCTGTACCATTTTCTTGAATCTATTTAATGTTTGCGCCTGCCTGATGTTAAGCGGCAGTGCATTCCACAAGCGCACAGCTTCAACAGTGAAGGATTGATCATAAAATTTGGTGGAATGCAGTGGCATCTCCAGTTGTAAACCTACGGATGACCGCAGACATTTTTCGTGTGTGTCATTAAGGAACTTGAATCGTTCTTTGAAAGGGGTTTTGGGATTAAACAAAATTTAATAATATAATATTATATATTATTAATATAATATTATATAATATTATATTAGTGTTCTAAACAAAGACAGCGCGGAAACATTCTATAAAAACCCCCATTATATTACGACAGATGTCGACACCTCACGTGTAGTGAGCAAATTATTATTAAAGAGCGTACTCCTTCCTTAAAGGCTGGCAACGCGCTTGTGGCCCCCGAGTTGCAGGCGTTCATGCGGGTCGTCGCTTTCCATCAGGTGACCAGTCAGCTCGTTTGCGCCCTATTTCATAAAAAAAATATATGTGAAAAGCACGATCATTTGTTCTGTGTCTGTGTGTAATTTATCTGTAATATTGAGAAATATATAAGTATGTTTATCAGCAGTCTGGTTACCATAGTACAGGCTCTGCCTAGTTTGGGATCAGACGGCCGTATGTGAGATGTGTGGAATTAATATTATAATTCTTCTACATACCGCCTCACTTCTTAATAAACAAGCTTTAAATATCAGTCCTTATCTGTATCGTACATGTCAGTTTTCGCGGTACTTTTGCATGTTTTTGCTCAAGAATCTTTATCATCTAAATTGGTTTAGCGGTTATTAATTCCCCATACAAACTTTCACCCCCTTAAAGAATGATTTCTGGAACAAAACCTACCCTATGTCCTTTCCCAGGACCAGACTATCTCTGTAACAAATCGGTTTAGCGGTTTAAGCGTGAAAAGGTAACAGAAAGACGGACAAACACACTTTCGCATTTATAATATTAGTATGGATTACCCACCTTCGTTGCGTGGCGGAGGCACATTCGACTGCAACGTCAGAGTAACATGTTAGATTACCGATCAGTGCAAATATTTGTAAACACGAAGATGTCTACCTGCAATGGGCTTCATGTTTGTTGATTATAAGGTTGAGGAACATGCGATGCTGTGCCACATTTGATATTTCTGAAAGCAATTCACCAAGGACAGTTGTAGCATGTGATCGTGTAGTATAAAACCACAGCCTTTTATGATAATAATCTCCTTCGTAGTAATTCGACACAAAATAAATATCGTTTAATTAGAAATAATGTCTAGAAATACTTGATTTAGTACTCAAAAAATATATTTTGCAATGAAAGATATTTTTAATATTCTTAACGACCGAATGGCGTAGTGGTTTGTGTAACGGACTGCTATTCCAAAGGTCGCGGGTTCCATTCCCGCTCAAGTCAAACATTTGTGTGCATGAACATTTAATGTTTGATTTGGTCTGGGTGTTTCTATGTATAATAAGTATGTATTTACAAAAAAAAAGTATATATGTATTTATATTAGTTGTCTAGTAGCCATAGTACAAGCTCTGCTTAGTTTGGGACTAGATGGCGTTGTGTGAATGTGGTACAATATTATATTATATTAATGGATATTTTTTAGAACACAACATAATTATTCCACAGATAAGGATGTTCTGTAGAATAATCAATTGTTTAATCAACTTATATAATTTGACGTGTCTGTCTGTGCCATCGAAGGTCCTAAAAGAATTGATCGCTTTTGATTCGTTTTTTTTTTGTTTGACAGTTAACATAATCGAGATGGTTCTGAGTTCAGCTCATTTCTTAGTTGATGATTACTAAATTGCTATCCCTGTGGTGGTGGATTAAGAATACTTAATGTCACCACCCCTATTCATCCCGTGGGTGTCGTAAGAGCCGACTAAGGGAGTAAACTACGCAAGACAACAGCACTGCAAAGAGAAGGAAAACTTGACTCAAACCCTATACCAACCCGACTGGCCAGCGTGGTATAGTAGGTCAAAAGCTCCTTTTTAAGGAGACGCCTATGTCCAGCAGTGGACTAGTAATGGCTGTTAATGATGATGATGATCTTAGTTGATGAAGGGATCTCGCTATTTTACACAACTCCGATTGATTTGAATTTGGTGTACTGTTACTCTAGTGGTATTACCATGATATTGTAACGTTGGTCTGATGCTGCAGCCAAAACCTTGGGTGTCGAGGTGTTCTAAATTGCAAAATAAATGATGATACGTGTTCAATTGCTTACGGTCTGGCTCATTGACATTTTCTACGAGGAAGCGATGGGTGGCATGCTTTTCTTGTTCATTCCGTCTAGTTCGGTAGTTTCGAATTTGAATTGTGTTGATAGTCCTAGAAAATAACACAATTTACTTAATAGACGTGATCTTCCGACATGGAGATTGGTACAAAAGGAACATGGTTTCCGCCTGACTCCTTTCCTTTTTTTCTATTAAAGAATGTTACTCACCCGATTTCAAGTTACGACATAAAATAAAACACTTAAATACATTTATTAATAATGATTTTATTCTTGAATATCAATTACACTTGTTATTATTATTTTATAAATTTTACATTTTCATCGTATGTTATATATTTCATGTAGTTAATATATAAATGTGCTTTTTGATCTAGAATTCAGCATTACAATACATATCATTTATCATTTTATATAAAACATTTGGGAACACTCAAATAAAAATTGTTTTATTTATCATATCGAATGAAAAAATCCTGATTCAAACTTTTTTTTCAAAAAATGCTTTCGTTGTTTTGAACCAGTACCCAACACTTAATTAAAAAACTCAAAACATGAAGAATAACATTTCAGAGTCACTCTTTTTTTTTAATAAAAAGGAACTCTTTAGCCATCTTTCTCGTGTTCTCCCGAACTATACATTATAAGTCACAACCACAATATTACATTTTCTCATTAAAAAAAATATTTAAAAAGATTCATTGTCGAGTCAGAAAGTAATTTCTAAATTGAGCAACTCTAAAGTGACAATCAAACGTTATTCGTCAAAGTTGTATCTAAATTTTTAAGTCGTTTAGCGACTATGATTGACGTCATTCTACTTTTTGATGTTTTCTTTGTTTAAAATACAGCTTTTTTATATACAAACAGTGTTGATTAATTTCAAACTAGAACACAACACTAAAATATTGCTAAACTTAACGTGACGTTAGTTTACTATTCTCACACTGCACAAAAATATTTTATAATGTACCTGTATTAAATATGTACGAGTATGTATACATGTATTTTGCAATCACTACTGGTAATTCATGAGTTGGTTTATAATTATTTATTAAAGAAACCATTATTGTACTATTTTTGTTATAATTCTAAAACATGGAAAGATAAGAAAACAAGGCTCGAAGAATAATTTGAATTAAAAGCTTGTTCTTCATCCTGTCAAACTTTCCCGCCTTCTAGAGGTTGTCAATTTAGTGCAGGCGCTAGAGGTGAGTATGCAAAATGTAAGAACCTAATTCTACAATAGATTTAAATTTAGAAAAAAAACTGACAAAATCATTTACTAAAACGTGACACTCACATGTCAGGTTGTAGTAAATGACAGAAGTGCTTAATTTCGTGATAGATTTTTCTCTGAGTTTTATTATATTTTTGTTACTTTATACGGTCTTTTTAACATGACAGCTGATCTATAAAGTCATGACGACGGATCCTAATTTACTTTTATAAATTACCATATGTCATAATGTTTTTGTGCGACACTTCATCTGAACATATTATGATCCGTGGTGGTGTTATAAAGCGAAACTTCGCTGAGTCATATTTTTGTTGCATTGATGTGTCGGATTGTGAACTCAATCGGTGCAGATCTTTTTGAGTTTTTGAAGCGTACACAAACCAACTTAACATTATAAATATATATATATATAAGATAATAGTATTATTTGCACGCATACTAGCATGTAATTATACAGATGTGCTTGTAAGTCGACTGATTATAGTGACAGTAACTACAGAATGACATTGCAATGTAACATATTGCGAAAATATCCTTATTTTTCCTGCATTATTTTTAGCCAACTTAGATTATAATCCTAATAATGAGAGGCAGACATTATTAGTCATACATTCCTAGTTCAACTTCTCTTGAAATTGAGAGTTTGACAGTTCCGAGGGAAGAATATTTTTTTACAGAAGGCAGTCGGAGAGTGGATGAAGAACGACACAATTAATTATTAAATTTCCAATAGTCAAACGGATTGTATTCTGGTATTCCTGGCAGTAGTGTGACCAGAAAAAATGCGCGGCTTTTTAAACGATCTATATAAAAAGATATATAAACTAAGTTTAGTTGGAGGCTATTCATAAAATATATCGTGTAGGTATTATTTTAGACACGATACTTATGTTTTAAGATCAATAACATATATATCAATAGTATTTAATAATATTGATTGTAATAAGTAAAAAGAACGAGCGAGTAATCGCCCAACTCGAACAATACGCGCTCTTAATGATCTAATCAAAAAGCGCGCCATTTCTCATGCTTCTTGTAACACGTTTCCGTCCCACGCACAAAGTCAACACACTGATTGCTCGAAAGCCGAAAAAATGTCACACATTAAACACATTAATATGTGTCGAACTATTTATGTGGTATCGAAGTAAAAATTAATTTTTTTGATAATTATACATCTTCAAAATTGTTTTTATAGTTCTGTGATTAGTGTGGATTTAAGAAATATGAATCCTGACTTAATGGTTGCCATGTTTATAACATTCGATTTTTGGTTCAACGATATAATTATCACCGCAATTTACTTTCGATTTAAAATCTAATCGTCAAAATAAATCAATACCTCGCTCCTTATACCGACATATTTCATAAACGGCCTCTTTATTAGCTTACGTATTTGAATAATAAGAATTTGGCACATTTAAACTATAAGATAACTTATAAAACTTACAAATATTTTTTCAAAATAATGGTAATAATTTTTTAATGCCTCAAATTTTCCAAGAGTTTTTGTTTTACCCTGTGATTTCATGCCTCGAACTAATTAAATGCATATATCGTGTTCGGCAAAAACAAAACAAGGGCACTACTCAGAGTAAAATAAAAGAAAACATTATTTCTTAGTCTATCTTACGATAATTAAAGCATCCATGTTTCCACATGTTTAATTTCGTACGTAATGTATATATATATGTATATACATAAACATATATACATATGTATATAAATATGTTATATATATAGATATATATGTATTATAAATCTATTTCTTGTATCTGCTAAGTGTATATTTTTATATGGCAATACTAATAATGCATGTTAATTCTAATGAATTTTATTATGATAACATCACATAAATATTTTTACAAACAAAATACATTTAATATAGTTACAATTTATATCTACAAAACGTAATATATATCTTACTATCATTTAAATAAAATTAATAGGGCGGAATTACACCAATTTCTACTTTCCTTTTATTTTATTTACAAACATTTAAGCATTACTACGACTTATCTTAATAATCTAAGAGTAAAAATGGACCTTTCGAGATTTTTTGTTCTTAGAAGTGTAAATTATACAAATTAGTTATAAGAAAGTTATTTAACAAGTTATTCATTGTAGATCTTTGTTATGACAGTTAACAAAAATATAAAAATCAGCCGAAAGGTCCTGAAGAATAAACAAAGTATACAGATCCGTAGATAATTCGTATATTTGCCTTAATTTTTAGTATTTCCAAAGCATTACGTTTTCGCATGTGCGTTTGTTGTTACAATATGTAAAGATTATTCTTTGAGATTACGATTTCTCTCAAATATTTTAACAAGTACTTTTCATTCACAATTTCTTTTCACTTAATAAAAACTTGAAATTTTAGTTATAATAACTTGTATAAATATTTGAGATCAAACGTTTACCCATGATTCAAGATGGCGGAAATAATTAAACTACAATTCGTATAAAACAATCTCTAAAGAAGCCCATTTTTTTATAAAAAGGTATTATTCATTATTTTGAAGTGTCCTTCTTTCAAAATATCTAGGTAGAAAAACTAACTGTTTAAAGTTTTTTTCTCATCTAATTTTTTTTTGCAAAACATTGAGTAAATTGAGCAACAATAAACTATTACTAAAAGCGATCAGTAAGCTTTTCTTCAAATAATCTACTCAACCAAAAAGAAAACATTTGTACACGTATCAATAAAATACAAATTTCAAAATAAATAAATCCTTTAATATTAGCCTTCACAGAGTCTATTTATTGTTTAAAAAAGTATTTACAACTATTATTATGTAACACTGCACATGTGTCTGGCGGCACAGTCACACAACCTGTCACTTTCAAATTAACAGCTTATTTCAGAGTCCCCGACGTATTCCCCGTTGCTACCCTGTTTCATCACAATATTCATATCATCAAATTTCTTGCTGTTCGGATTACTACTAGAACTTGACGACGCATTATCACTGTCAGCATAAGGGACATCAGTCATCGGGCCGTTCAGCAAACTAGCCGCTGAATTGGACTGTTTTAATTTTCCCTTTTCTTCCTTCGGCTCGGTTTCTTTTGGCAAGTCATCTATAACAGCTTTCTTGGGGTCGATTTGTATTGTTTTAGAATCTGATAACTTATTTGGTGTAACAACATTTATGTAAGGCGGGAGAATATTCATAGTTGTCAAATTGACAGAACCACTATTTTTTTTCAATGCGTTTAGATTCTGTTCCAATTGGGCGGCGTCTAAACATAAAGGTTTTGGTTTTGGAGCGTATTTAGGCAGTGCTTCCTTAGCCCACGCGGTGATCCGTGGCGGATCCGGAGAAGCTATAGGCGCAGCTTTACGTTCCGGAATTAGTGCGTTCTTGTGGTTGGTTTTATCAGCTGCATTTGATTCTATAGCTTTCGAAAGTGCATTTTCAGGTGGTTTAGGGGATGTTGGTGTAATGCTTATTAATTTTTCGACCTGCAAAAAACATAACCTCTTTACCATCTAGAATTGAATTTTATAAAGACGTGGGGCAAAACCGGACGTAAAAACCTTTTTATCGTAAAATAATCTAAACTATTAACTACCGTCAGTCAATGTCAAATGACGTTTATCCAGTCGTACAACAACTAACACTAAATACAACAGTTTTTATTTTACTGTACAATTTTTCATTAAATTTGAAATGCCTCACCATTTTGCTATACTTATACTCTACAGCTGCAAAAAATGCACCATCAACAAATTCGTTTTTGTTCTACGACTACGAAGAATTAAAAATAAACCCATGGGAACTCCTTTCGCCAATGTATTTCTATTAATAGATAAAGAAATGAGAATTCTGTTTTACCTATGAGATACAAACGTTCAAACGATTAATAGTAAGATATACATATGTAGATGATGTTCTAGCGAGTGCTGATGAAGGCAGTCAACACGTATATTTTAACGAAGGGTCTTCTGAGATTGTCAGAGATTTTAGATTTGATTTAATTTGACAAAACATTAGAATCATCTTTACGCACAATTATGTCCTTGAAAAGATTGAGGGCCATAAGTGAGCATGGTCGCGTAGCTGTAATTTAATGTACAATTCCAAAAAAGGTATAGATTTTAGTAATCAGTCTTCGGAAGTATTCCACTAATTTTATTTTAAACTTTTTTAATTTTAAACTAGTAACAAAATCAATAGCATTTACTCACAACTGGTCCATTATCAATACTTTGTCGCAGCTCTGGTTTGTGCTCGGTGAATGATGTCTCCCATATGATGGGTTTTTCATCTGTCTCTGAAGCTGTATCATCATCCAGTGACGCACCTTCTACTGAACTTAGCAACCTTGAATTTAAAAGATGTGTCTTAACACTTCAATAATGCAGTGGTTTTAAAAATGTAAAATATCTCTATAAATGTATGTAGATTTATTCTATATAATAGTCAAGAATGAAATTGCGTGCATTATAAGTTGCAAGATAACGATAGATATGTTTTACCTATCCGTGGAATTAGACTGCAGAAACTTTGTGTTGGTCCTTGTCTCTGCGCCGGAGGTAGCCGAGGCATCGCGCCTTGCGCCGCCGCTGCCGCTCCGGCACACCATTGGAATGTTGCCATATTCTTGTGATGCTTAAATGTGTCAGTTAAACTTGTGTTTGAAAAATAGTTTAGACCAGAACATTATACTGTAACTAACTTATTTATACTTTTTTATTAATCTAGATCTAATTAGGATTTAAATTAGAAGTTATAGAATTACAAAAATAGTCCTAAATTTAACTTTACTTTATCCGTCGATAAATTAATATTAATTGAACACGCTCTTAAAAAACGAGTTTTTCAATATTTCTTCAGGAATCAAAAAAGATTAAGCAGTAGATTTTATGTATAGTATGAGACATCGGAAGATAATTCTAATTAACTCTTCTACACAAAAAGCAGTATAAAGAAAGTCTGCATAGCATAGCACTGTTAATTATCTCACCTCTCAGTAGAGGTGGAAATTGTGAATCCTCCGTGTCGGGTCGGTCCTGGGCCGCCGTTGGCGATTTGCTATGAAGTACCAGCTGATCCGTTGAGCTATAACAATGCCTTCATATGTAATGTATACCATTAGAAAATTTATGGCCAACATAAATATACTGGTGCAGAAATGATTCACAAGCTGAAAAGTCGTGATTTACTGCCAAAATTGTAAAGGCAAAGGCAAATGTAAAGAAAAAAATGATAATTGTACCCATAAAGTCAATATTACATGTCACAAATACAAAAACCAAGTAACATTTTCAATAATTACTAATTATATAATAACATTTTAAATAATTACTTTTCAATAATTATTATTAATTAACATTTTCAATAATTGTTATTTAATACCCAACACATAAAACATACCGTTTTATGTGTTGGGTATTAAATAACAATTAAATAGCCAGTAAAATGACAGTAAAATAATAAAGTACCAATTAAAATAAAAAGAGCCAGTAAAAAACGGTAACTGAACGAAACAATAAATAAAACCTCATTGAAACATCTAAATATATTTGCTAGTAAATTTATAAGTTATCAATTATTAATATTATTAGTTGTTGTTTTATAAAAATCGCTTTTATTATTTAATAACGTCTTGGAAAGGAAAGTTTGGCCACTAACATGCTGGCATAACTGCTTAGTCTCTCTAGAGCAGTTCAATTGTTACTGCTCGCTTAAGCTTCAAAATTTTCTCAAAATCTATCACAATATTTTTCAACATTTAAATGGTATCATTTCTTACCGATTAAATCAAAATTGAATAGTATTCATACGAAAACAATCAATAGATGTTTGAGAAAATTTTGTTGTTGATACAATGTAATCTCATCATTGTTATTTGATCAGTTACGATACGACATCAATGTGTGAAAGGAGGTGCGACACATAAGAGTTAGATTTAAAAATAGCAGATTTATTAGTTTTCGAGGACACTGGCAGTATATATAACATTATTATTCTATTTCAACATGAGTACCTCAATAACCGTTAATAATCAATTTTATGAAATCAATATAAACTTTTATTATCTTGGACACAAGTCAACGTTTTAATCAATTAACAGTTGCACATTCTTATTGGGTCAGGACATATAATACAGAGGAATTGTTTCATTATTTATGATTGTAACTTTGTTTTATATGCTTTATCTGATTTATATGCGTGATATACATCACGAATCAGTATATAAATATACAAAAATTTGAAAAAGGTGTATATCTGGATGATATATTATTTTCTGCAGACTATTTAATAGAACACCGCGTTTCAAAGAATAACTTTCTGGTCAACATTCACGTGTTCTAATTTATTTAAATATGTCATATAATACACACATATGTTCAATAAGTAAGAAGGTGACCTGATTGTCTCGATGGCTGCCAGTCTCCTCGTGTATAAAATGCGGTGTTACCTATTATTCGCCGGTGTGTTGTCCTGGGGCGACATCGGCACGAGGTAGTCGCACGCCGGCGCTCGCTGCCAACATGCCACGCTCAGTACACATCACACAGGGGGATCTTGTTGTGCTACTTCTATTTTACAGTTTAAGTATAGCTTTCCGAGATTTTGATTACCTACTGGTTGTCAAAATTATAATATTTACGAGTATGTATCTGACGATTAATGATTCGTAGAAAAATAGAAAGGTAGAAAATTAATATTTTGATCTACTTTTTTTTTTAAAGTTACATGATATTTTATCTGATGAAATAGTCGATGATAACTTCAAGTATTGTTTTTTTTTTTTACTTGCAAGTATTGTTAATTAGTACTGGATTTTTGTTGTTTAATGGTATATAATTTGAATTGAATTGAGTGAAGTTTCGAGCAAGTTTCAATTCAAAGATGTTATAAGCTTTGATGATGGTACGTCTTTTTCAAACTGACTAATTTAATTAATTGTATTTTTGACATTTATTGCCAATTATTGAAAGCTTTCATCAAATTTAAAGCATCCATATTGCAATTTTTTTATAAGGTTCTTTTTATAGTTATATTTATTTGTATTTTTACTTGTATTGTATTTTTTATTAATAAAAATCACGGAACAGCTCTTCTTTTAAAAAAAATATTTATTTTGATATAATCGCCCTGTGTTTCATTTTAAATTCTACACGTGCATTCCATTAGGGTTTATAAAATTTGTAAATAGACTTACTATAATTTTCTTTCCTTTTAATTTCATATTTTTTATAAAACCCAATGGATGGGACAAAGGTAAAATAAAGAAAATAGATATATAGGTAATAAATTCCCGCTATAGCTACTAGGCAAGTAAACACCCAAGTTTTTTTTTTAAAACCGACACAAGAGATTCTTTGAAATGTCATGGAATTAAAGATGGCGGAAATTAAAATCTATGAACCATGTTACGTGAACCATGCGTTTATATGATATTTAACATTCCAATGAATCTCTGTCTAACTACAGGGGAGCTAATTTCTACGCGATTTTCATTCAAGGAGGGGTAGGTAGAGTTAGATATAAATGATTAAAAAAAAAATGGAGGATCATGCGAACTCGTAAGCACGGGCTCTGAAATGACCACTAACATTGAATTTAAAAATATTTATCTTTAGTTTTAATTATGTTTAGTATTAGTAAAAAAAATCTTTACTTGCTTCTAGTAGCCAGAGCGAAAACGTTTGAAAAAGAAAAAAACGTAGTTACAAATTAGTATGTTTGTCCTTTTTATCTTAGTTATTTTTTTATGTACACAGTGGTTACACTCGGTAATAGGAGCAGGGGAGGGAGGGTTCTTAGGCCTCAAACATGTACAACTAACAGAGGCGTTGTTCTGGACATAGGTTTGTAGTTACCTTTATAATATTGTGTTGTGTTTTAATAGATGTTCACAAGTATAACTATAAAAATTAATATAAAATCAATCAAATTATATCATCAATAATAAGGAACGTCGCTAGTTATAGTCATTTTTTTATCGTGGTCGTTTTACGATTTAGGTCACCACTCACTCTTGGTGACAACAGCCAAGAGATTAATACCTCCGGTAGAGGCTGTTCTTCATTCTAGCAGAAAATTATCATTTATGATTTTAAAAAGACAACTCCAGCAGTATGAATATATTCCGTGTCTACTAAACAAACAATTATAAAACGGCAAAAATAACACCCAGACACAAAACAACAATTTGTGATTTACACATAGTGTTGTCTCGTGTGAGGATCGAACTCACAACACTTATGGAATCGGCGAGGTGACCGCTTAAACCACTACGCTATTTGCTGAAGATTGAAGATTGACTGACTTTAGAGTTACTTGCCACAGTATGGAATTCAGTACAATTTGGTTATTCGGGTTCAGATAAGCAAGAAGACTCCGTTGGAGTAGTGCGGATAGCCTATCTAGTCTATAGTATTTCGTTTAGTTTTATTCTTGGCTGTTGTTATTTCCATTTTAGCCTCATGGAATTCCTTTACGTACACCTCTATTAAGCATTTCCTATATATATTTTGCTTTAGATTTCAAATCTTAAAAAAAGCCTTTTTATTTTATAATTAATTAGTATTAGCCATTAGAGTGACTGATTCTAGTTCAAAATAAATGATTTTTTATATTTTTATTTTGTATAAGAACAACGCCTCCTAGTAATAAATTGTCGATAAATTCATAAAAATGTTACTAAACTTACCCGTGGTCCGTTGGCATTGTACTGCACATCTGCAGAAAGAGGCAGCAACGACCGAACTACCGGCAGTGGAGCGCTAACTATTGCCGCATCCTGAACAAAAAAGTCATCGATTTATGATCAGTTTTCAAGCTAAATTTGTCGGTTGCCAGTTTTACAGCTATATTTTTGTATTTATTGCGCTTTTGATTTATGCGATTGTGTTGGAACTAATGTCATCAAAGTGGCTGACAAACAAATTAAAATGGCTACCAGATTTATTAAGACAACTGCCAAAGTTACCAAGATGGCCGCTACAGCTACACGAAATGGCTGACAAAGTTAACAAAAGAACTGATCAAGATAATAAAATTGTTGACACCGTTAGTTTCACGGTTTTTATAGTGCTCTAGGAAAAGTTTATTTCTGATGGCTGAGCATGTTAAAATAATCTATAAGAGGATATATAGAGGATCATATTTAGCAATGAGGACGTCTACAAGACACTTGCTGTTTGTCGACATGGATTGAGAGTTAAGCATCCCTACGGCACATCATCATCAGCCTATCGCAGTCCACTGCTGGACATAGGCCTCTTCCATTGCACGCCACTTAGATCGATTTTTGGCTTCTCGTATCCAGCTCCTGCCAGCCATCTTGCGCAAATCGTCACTCCACCTGGCCTGTGGGCGTCCTACACTACAGTGAAATTAGTCTCGAGAATTTTTTGCATATGTAGTGGTGTGTATATTACTCAGATCTTAGAGCGCGTTTCCACTATATCGTTCTGGCCTATATAAAAATGTTTCGATATCCTAACATTACTATTTAATTTTATACTTATCCCTAGCAACACTCTAATTTTTGTTTTCAATAAAAACAAGTTTTTATTTTAAAGAAAAAAGTTTTGACTTTATAAAAAAAAAGGTGTGTGTGCGATTCACACACGATAGAAGTGAAACTTCAAAGAGGAGAGACCGATAATTTTTTTTTTTTTTTCCCCTTTCATCTAGGTTTTTAAAACTCCGGGGGGTCTACGGGGGGGTCAAAATTTTTGTTATTTTTGGCCTAGGACGCACCGTTTCCGAGATATTTCAATCTAAAGCAAAAAATTGTCACTTGGAAACGCACAAAACCAGAATAAACCAGTTTACGCTGTCCGCTACCATACACTACTACAAACGCAAAAATTTCTCCAAGCTAATTTACCTGTACGTTTACCGAGACGCGGTCTCCACTCAAGAACGGCACATAATACTACAAATTTATTACGTCTAAGAACAGAGTCGTATCACACCAATAGTGTTCTACCAGTGCATGTGCAGCTGTTGTTGTATATTTATCGTAACATTTGCCACATGTTTGTGTTTTGCGGAGGACACTAGACCAAAGCAGTTGAAGTTACTGAGTTGTGGCAGATCTGAGGCACCGCTCTGGATTACCTAGCTATTATAAGCTTCCTCTGGTAGATACTTTGCAAGGCAGTCCACTCTTCCACACTTATAATAAATTCTGTTTTCAGACGAGGATAATTGTTTGTTGAGGGTAGTTGTAAATTAAACGCACCTGTAAGAATGACTGTAGGATCTCGAACATGTTTTGGAAAGTTGGTCGGGCGTTTGGAGTTGGGTTCCAGCATTCGCACATCAACCTGTATATTTCTTGCGGACAGCCTGTAAATAAATAAATGTTACCAATTTTTTTCATTTACATTTTTTTATCAGATTTGTAGTTTAGTAAATTTACCAGATTTTTTCCTTGTAAAGGCTCTGCTCAATAATTATTTCGAAAAAGATAATCATGGTAGAACAAAAAAAAGGAAGGTCCTTTAATAACTTTGATAACAAGGAAGACACAGACGTCAAAGATTTTATTTGTAGAACTATGAATTAACAGACGCTTATATTAAGATATAATATTTGCCTATCTCACCGTAAGGTTTCTCCAGCCTGCCACCACCGGAGACCATCTCCATGACTTCTCTATTAGCACAGCCCGTGTACGGCATCACGCCCAGGGAGAACACCTCCCAGAGAAGTACGCCGAAAGACCTGCGTCAGATAGCGTTTGGAGTTATTGCAAGTTTATTGCAAGTCCTCTTTTGTTCTTGTCTACCTATTTGGGACTAAGGCTTTTAGGAAAAACATTGAAATTCAAACTTTTAAATTAATTAAATATGATAGTTAGTATAATATGGTACTTGTATAGTCCTAATTTGAAATTAAATAATGCGAAAGGTGACTAACATGAATTTTACTCAGAATTTAAAAAAAAGTTTAAAGCAAATTAAATTCTATATTTTTTTTCTTTAAACCTTTCTACATTCATATATTCAGATTTTCGATATTCCTATTCATATTTTATTTGAAATTTAAACCTATTTCATACTATTATGTATATTTTAATCAAATTTAACCAAATGCGTGCAGCCATTCTTAAATGGTGTTATAAATAGAATTACATTTTTATTCATAGACATAAATTTCAGTCAAAGAAGTCGGGTGTAAACTCACCAAACATCAGTTTTGATGGTGAATACTCCATCAATATAAGCTTCTGGTGGCATCCATTTAATTGGCAGCATGGCCTTGCCGCCCTTCTTGTAGTAGTCCGACCGATAGATGTCGCGAGCCATGCCGAAGTCTGCTATCTTTACAACCCGACCAGGACCTCGGGAGGTCAGGAGACAGTTGCGGGCGGCTATGTCCCTGGAGAGGTACGAAAGACGTAGGAGGATTTAATTGTTTTTCTCTAAGCACAGCATGTACTAATGAATCATCTAATAATATTATAGAGAAAAATACTGTGTTGCCAACTAATTCTAATAAACTTTCATTGTTTAATCTTCATCAACAGCCTTTAATAGTCCACTGCTGGACGTAAGCTTCTCCTTAGAAAGGAGGTTTTGTTCTACTATACCACGCTGGCCAGACGGATTGGTACAGGGTTTGTGTCCAGTTTTCTTCTCTCTGCAGTGCTGTTGTCCTGCGTAGTTTGCTCCCTTAGTCGGTTCTTACGACACCCACGGGATGAATAGGGGTGGTGACACTCTGTATTCTTAATCCGTCACCACACGGTTTATGTTATGTTGTTGTTTAATCTTATCTGTGTGTAATTCCTAAGTACTATATTTTTGTTAATTTTCGTTCACTTTAATCTTAATCTTGCTACTACTTGAATGTGTGTCTATCTAATGATGTATACTGTGCATGCCTGTAATTGGTCTACATATAAGAACTATCCTTTATATTGAACTGCATTTTGAACAATATGTTGTATTTGTATACTATTGGCGTGTCAATAATAAATTAATAAACAATTGTGTGTAAACTTGGAGTTCGTCCCAAACTTAAAGGGAATTGTGTTATAAGAAAACATAGAATAAAACAAATGCCAATTTAGCCTAAATGAGAGTTTTAAACATTCACAAAATTTATTTTTTCCAACGCACAATGTCGTGCTTAGTGGTATTTTTGAAAGCATTTTATACTGCAATATTTTTAGGAATTGGCAATATTGACTTAACAGTGAGATCGACCATCCCAAATTTCTATTGTTAGAATAATCCATCACATTGAAGAAACCCATAAATCACCAATTCAACAATAAACTACCATACCTGTGAATAAACCGCTTAGTCTCCAAATATCTGCAACCTTTGCAAACATCCAGAGAACACAGCAGGAGATCTTTCATGGTCAGGGCGCTAGCTCGCTCGGGTTTCGGTCGGCTTTCCCGGAGGAAGTTCTTGAGATCGCCACCGGCCAACAGTTCTAAGACTATGAACCTGCAAAACCATGGACTTGCATTATATTGGCTGGATGATTATATGGAACTTTCATAACGAAGAACATACTGAACAAATGATCATCACAGTAATTTGTCCTGGGTGGGAATCGAACCCACAAGTTCTCACTCTCTCATTTAGCAGACAGGATCACTAATCACTAGACCGGCAGTCAGCCAGTCAAATTCAAATCTATTACATAAATAACAAATTAACATTTAAAAAGTTTTTTTTCTGACAATAGGGAGCTGTGACGTCATATCTTGTCATTTCATACAAATAAGAGCCTTTGAAGTTTAGTAAAATAATAAAAATAAATGACTAATTTTCAAGCCCCTATCGTCGGTCTAAACCCAAATACTTTGCAGAATGACAAGGAGGTCATACAAACCTGGGATGTCTATCGAAGCAGACTCCAATCAGATGCACAATATTCGGATGACTAAACTTGGCCATAATAGCAGCCTCCATGAGGAAGTCGGACTCTGCCTGCCCGGTAGAAAGTTCTGGTAGAGTCTTGACTGCTACTGGCATTTCTACCGTATCGCCCGTCCTGTGACGGTACAGACCTTGGTAGACTTCACCAAATGCACCTTGTCCCAAAGCCCTGGAAAAATGGGTTTCATGAATTCACTATAGAATCCTAGTGTAGACTTTGGATTAATTGGATATCGAAAATGATTGGATTTTCTGGAAATTGGTTGATCATCAACAGCCTTTAATAGTCCACTGCTGGACATAGACCTCTTCTTAGAAAGGAGGTTTTGTCCTACTATATCACGCTGGCCAGACAGGTCGGTATAGGGTTTGAGTCAAGTTTACCTGCTCTTTGCAATGCTGTTCTTAGTAGTTTGCTCCCTTAGTCGGCTCTTACGGCACCCATGGGATGAATAGGGGTAGTGATACTATGTATTCTTAATCCGCCACCATATGGACAAAACGCAATTTGTTTTTTTATAAATGTGGATTAGTCTGTTTATCTGGTTTCTCAACATTTTAATTTTAATTCTTTTTCTTCAAGGCGTAGGGAGCAAACGAGTTGGGTACCTGTAACCCAATGGTCACAAGTGCATTCCCGCTATTACCTCTCCCCTCAGAATTAAGAGAACGAGGGAAGCCTCCAGTAACTGAACGAACGAACGAACGAACGAAACAGAACGTAGGGCTGAACACCGGTTTTCTCTGACATTTTTCCTATAAACCTGACCGAAATGCACCAAACAACGACTCTTCCATAATGTTTATCGCAATAAAACACAGGTTATTTATACTAACTTGACAAGTTTCAAACTCTCCCTGGACACCTGTGGCAGACCTCTGACGTCGATGCCCTGGGGCAGTATACTCTCGCTCCCGTAGTGAGGGTTGAACGCCATGGTCACGTTGTCAGTCCCGGGAGTGTTGCGGAGTCTGAAGAGAGCCACGTCTTGTTCCCGACTGTACTTCTGCTGTTGTTCTGCTTCTTTCCTTCGTTGGTAAGTATTGTCTGAGGGAACAGATGAAATTAAAAGTCTGGATAGGGAAAAGTTTATCAATGAATCAGTTATCAATTTTTATTCCATTGGAGATGACACTAATAAGAATATATTTAAAAGTTATAAACTTATTCTGTACTAGCGGATACCTGATGTGTCTTACTACGCTAAAAAAGAATTACATTTTGTTCATTTGTTGGAAAAAAAGGAGAAATTTTCTTTCATCAACAAGCTTTCATAGTCCAGTGCTGGACATAGGCCTCTCCTTAGAAGGTGAGGTTTTGGCCTACTATACCACCCTGACCAGATGGTTTGGTTTAGGGTTTGTGTCAAGCTTTCCTTCTATTTGTCCTGCGCAGTTTGCTCCCTTAGTCGGGTGTTATGACATCCATGGGATAAATTGGGGGCGGTGACATCCTGTGTTCTTAAAGTGTTTTTATTTATGATCTATAACTGACATTATACAAAAACAATTTTTGTGTTTTACATATAGATAAAAGGATTATAAGCTATGACGTCATAAATAGCGCTATCTAGCAAAGCCTAGCTCAACTACGTAGTACGCAGTATGATCCTGCAACGCGCAATGAGAATTCTCGCGTTGACAAAATCTATTATTATTCTCGCGCTGGTTGAAAGATCCTCTTCTTGTTTGAGCAGTACATAGTTATAGCGACAGTAGCAACAGCACGAGAGCAG